TTATTTCACAGAAACAGCTCTTTTTATAGGTTCACATCAACAGGAAGCACCAAGCAACTATTTGTATCTTTTATGCAAAGACCGGATTTTCTGACTCTTTACAAAGAACATCAGATCTATGGCTGTCTCTTTGAGTTTCTCCCATTGCAGCAACAAGTTTAACAAGCAGAGTCCTAGAATGTTACACAGATTGTATCAATGCCTTGAGTGTAGAGGTGAAGAAGTTTCCTTTTAAATGTCAAACTCCTAGAGGGCCATGGCCGGGCTCCCACACACTACTAAGCTCCTTCTCCAGCCCTTTTTATTTTTTGAGGCAGAGTCTCTCTGAGTCACCTAGGCTTACCCCAAACTTGCAACCCTCCTGCCTCAGCCTTCAGAGTAACTGGGATTACAGGCACTAGGTTCCTGTAGGGAGTTATTTCTGTGTCTCACTAGTTGGTGGTTGAGATTTATTCTTGCTACACATTGTTTTAGAGAAGATGCGGGAGTAGAGCTAGTTAATTACTTTGTGGGTGTTGACTCCTTCCCTGGTGGATATTTGCAGGGAGAACATGGGTGCATTCCTTATTTATGAAGTCTGGTAGGGTTGTCTTCCCACCACTGTGCCTCCACAAATGCTGCCTGTTGTGGAGTAGAATCAGTTCTCCGTAGAGAGCCAGGAGTTTGTGAACTTGCCTTTAGTAAAATGGATACTTTTCAAGTGGAGAATGAACCAAAATACCAAGTAATTACTGTCTTTGCTGTCAGTCTGTGGAGGAAGTTTTGAGGGTTGTCCTGACAGTTCCTCTCCCATGGATGCACCTCTGTATTTGGTTTGCACAGTGGCTGTTTCCTAGTCTGTCTCCACCTAAAGTTGGCCCTCTATTTTCTTGGGTCTAGGACAGGTCTGCCTAGTGACCCTTGGTGTCCTGCTAGAAGCTTCCTGCCTTCCCTACTGTGTTTGCTTTTTGTTGCTGTGACAGTGTACCTGCCAGACATTTTCAAGGAACAAAGGCTTACTTATTTATTTATTTGAGGTATGTGGTTGAACCGAAGAAATAAAACCTTGAGGATTGGAGAGTAATAAGCTGATTGGGCAACACCATCAGGTACTCCAAGAGAGGGGTCAAGATGGGACTTTGGATTTTTTTCGAGACAGGGTCTCTCTTCATAGCCCAGGCTGGCCTCAATCCTCCTGCCTCAGCTTCCCAAGTTCTGGGATTACTGGCGTGCACCACCATACCCAGCCAGGATAGGACTTTGAGGCAGGTATACCCACTGCTCAGAGCTCACCCTCTGAGCTCCCTTCCAGCCTGTCCCAGCTGATGCTGTGTGGAGCTCCAGTGTGCAGTGGGCTCCAGTGTGGACCTCCCCTCATTGGGAGGAGGGCCTGCCAGAGGCTGTGGGGTGTGGCTGTGATGGTGAGGACTCTGAGGACACTGCAGTGTGTCCTGGGTGGTCTACAGAGCCCGAGGGCCTCCCCCTTCTCCTAGCGCTTCTCTTTTTCCTCCCTGTGCCCATTGTCCTCTCGAGAGTCTGGCAGGGCTGAGGGTGCTTTCAGCCCCGAGTTGGTGTCGACGCAGGTTCAGCACTGTGCACAGCCTCCGCTGGATCTGCTTTCTTTGTTTTTATGGGTGTTAATGCCCCAGGCTTGGCCATCTCTGCTGTCCTCATACTACCAGGATCTTTCTGGGGATCCCCTACTTTACCAGGTCTTTAGCTTCCTAAGTCTGACCTCTCTGCTGAGCTGCAGACCTACTTGGAAAAGTGTCTGCTGAACGGATGGCAAAGTGTGGCATAGTCACAAAATACAGCAATACCCAGCCTGCAAGAGCAGAAGGGCTGAAGCCTGCGGTGCAGCGGTGGGTATCACACCTATGGTGGAGGAAGGCAGACCCAAGGGAAGGCACAGCCTGTGTTCATGGGAAGCTCAGAATCAGCAACCCAGCGAGTATGAGTGAGGACAGTGGCCACAGGGCCATGAGAGGGATGCTTCTGGATGCCATGTGCAGGCAGGTGATCCTGTACTTGTCCCTAAGCTGCCCTAGGGCCCAAGTGTTTCTGTGTGTTTGTTTTACCTTGGCTAGAGACTCCCAGTCAGACTCCAGCCTGGTACCCCACAGTGCCCAGCACACTCTACTCACCTCTCCCCAGGCCTGCGGGCTTGGCTTTGATGCCTGAACCATAGGGCCAGCCTATTTTCAGCTCTCTGCCCGCTCAGTCACTATTGCCTGGCTGTTGTCCCCTCTGCTGCTGAGATATACACTTGTATCCTCACCCGTGTTCTCAGCCCTGGTTTCCTATTCCTAAAACCCATCCTCCACCTCATTGCCAAAATGTTCACTTTGTTTTTTGTTTGTTTTGTCTTGAGACAGGGTCATCCTATATTGTCCAGTCTGACCTTGAATTTGTGATTCTTCTGCCTCAGCCCCCTGAAGAGCTTGGATTATAAGCATGTGCCACCACACTGGGCAGAATGTTCTTTATAAAATGCAAATGTGACCTTGTCACTGTCCTGTTTAAAGATCCAAAGAGCTTCCCCTCACCTTGGGCCTGTAGTGGGGCCCTATCGGGCATAATCTGTCCTATGAAAGGAAACTCTTAAGCCTATATCCTGCTCCAAGCCCTGAGCAAGCTGCCCCTCTGCACACCAGGGCTGGACTCCTCTGGAACAGGTGCCTGAACCACCCTGTTGGCCTGTGTCTGTTCTCCGAGTCATGGGTGAACTGTGCACCCCATTCCCCAGTCTTAAGACTTTAGCACCAGCTGGGCTACGCACACCAAAGTTGGAGCCCTGAAGGAAGGCAAGCAGGTGTGGAGGGTGCCTGTGGACATTCCCAGTAGTGGGTGTGCCTGAGCACACCTACACCGAAAAGTACACGCATCACACACTCAGTTGCCATGAGCTAAGCATACCTGGGGATGCTACCCAGACTTCTCACAACCTGTCCACATTGTCTCCCCCAGCTCCGGACACCGAAGACTAGTTTCCTATTTCAGATGCTTGTGCAGTGCTGTCATTATGCAAGTGGGAACAGTCTGTGGGATGGATTCTAGAAGTGAGGAGTGGAGCTTTGTCAAAGGGCATGTGCTTTCTAAAATGTAGACAGATTATCCCCTTGTGGGCTTTATTTTTGTTTTTTTGCAGTGCTAGTGATGAAACCTGGGACCTCGTGCGTGATGGGCAAGTGCCCCACCAGCCCTCAAAGTTTCTGCCAGCATGGGAGGGCCTGTTTCCCCATAGCTGTGCCATCTTCCCAACCTTCTATACTCATGTTGGCCATGTTTCCACATTTGAACTGAGTGAAACTGGTATCTCATTGTAGGTTTTATTTTCATTTCTTAGGCTAGTGAGATGTCTTTCCGCTATCTGTGAGGCCTCTGGTCATAGTCTTCAACCAATGGGCTGGTAGGTTGACTTGTGGGCCCTCTGTGTAATAGAAAGAGATTAACTGTTTGTCTTCCTTATGTTGTAAACATTTCCCTCAATGTTCTTTTTAAAAAAATATATATTTACAGTGTTTTCCCCCATGCTGAAAGTTTTATTTTTTAAAATTTTATTTATTTATTTATTTATTTATTTATTTATTTATTTATTTATTTATTTTGGTTTTTTAAGACAGGGTCTCACTGTATAGTTGAGACTGACATGGAACTCACTATGTAGCTCAGGTTGGTCTTGAACTCACAGTGATCCTCCTGCCTCAGCCTCCCGAGTGCTGGGATTACAGGTGTGTGCTACCATGCCCGGCTGAAAGTTTTATTTTTAAGTCAGATGTCTCCGTTACTTTCTCATTTCTGGGACAAATGCTCCCATTACCCACAAGTTAAAGGAGGAAAGGTTTATTTTAGCTCACAGTTTGTAGAGATTTCAGTCCATAGTCAGATGGCTATAAGGCAGGGCAGCATGATAGAAGAGAAAGTTCATTGTGTGGCAGGCACCATGAATTCCTCTCTTCCTCCTCCTGTCTTTTTTTATTCTGTCCAGGCCACAAACCTATTGGTTGGTAGCCACCCACACCTAGGGTGGGTCTTAAAACCCTCTTCAGTAAGTCTGTCATCTGCATCCAGAATGATCCTAAATCAATCTGAACTAATCCAAGTATCACACACCCATGATCCAGTCACTTCCAGAAGCCCCACCTTTGAGCACACTGGTCTTTGGGGGGACATCTAGATATGAGCTATAATGAGCTTATACTTTCTTTCTTTATTTATTTTTGCCACTAAGTCTTGCTATGTAGTCCAGACTAGTCTTAAATCTGCAACCCCTTTGCCCCAGCTTCCTACTTACTGGGATTTCTGGAGTATGGCATGACACCCATTCCTATAACCTTTAATTTTACCTAATTTATTTCAGTATAATACGGGGGTAGCCATGGTGACTTTTTTCTTCTTTCCACACTTTTAAGCCAGGCACAGTGGCACATACTTGTAAGCTCAGCTCCTTAGGAGGCTGAGGTGGAAGGATCACCAGCCTTCAATTTAATAGAACCCATCTAAACACTGTTTACATTTTCTGGGCTGGGATGTGATTCAGTGGTAGAATGCTTGTCTGTGTGAAACCCTAGGTTTGATCCCCATCATTGTAAAAAAAAGAAAAGTACAATTTATATAATTGTATATAAATTTGATAATTTGTATAATTGTATGAAATCATGTAATAGAAATTAAAAACATTTATTAAAGAAAGAAATGGAAGTTTAGAATTCCCACTTAAATGTTAGCTGCTTCCATAAATGCATCATACTGGCTTTGCTCACTGGTGCCGTTCTAGATACTAGAGACAGTCGTGAACAAAATAGGAAGTTTGAGCCTTGTGTTCTCATGAGGGGTAGCACATGGCAGCCATCTGCACCATTCCCTGACTGCACAGCCACTGCTGTTACTCAGAAAGGTTAGAAAAATGTAATGGGTGTATCAGCAATGAGATGTATCAGTAATACAAATTTCTTGACGTATGCTGTAGGCTGCAGATTTTGCAGTCAGGGATTCTGATGTTTCCTTTCATCTTTTACCAGAGGTGACCTGACGGAAGATAACATGGAAACAGAAAATGCAGCAGCAGCAGCTGCTGCAGCCTTCACAGCCTCCTCGCAGCTCAAGGAAGCAGTGTTAGGTAGGAAGCCAAGCTAGGAGGGAGTCATGCTAAGTGGATAGCTACATCAGGTGGGAAGCCTGCCTCCTGCTCACTCATCGTGTGGGGGCTCTGTGGTCCTGTGCTTGAGATGGGTAATGGGCTGCACCACAGGGCTCTCCCAAGGAGGCGTGTCATGTCTGTCATGACAGCTCACCTTGCCTGTGGCTGGGGAAAAAGCAAAGAAGGAGCACCCTAAGTCTTGCAGATCTCTCCTTTGTGGGATTTTGTTGTCTTGTTGCCATCTCAGTGCCGTTTGCTATAACTGCCAGTGTTTTTTGTTTTTTTAAATATCTATGGGACCTTGTATTGGCCAAATTAAAGGGCCTTGAATCCCTATGACCTCCACTTGCAGCGTTTCAACCACAGCTTGATTCTGTCCTTCTGTGGATCTTCAGTTGAACCATAGTTAGTTGAGTCTATTTTGTAGATTCATCTGCAACTCTGACCAGACTGAACCTCCTGTCCACTGTGACTCTACTTGGGGCCTTCCTAGATTTCACTGTTGGTTTCCAGGTTGGCAGTTTCTGGAAGGCATTTGCAGTAAGTGTTCTGGAGAGGTTATAATTGATTTCTTTTTTCTTCTTTCTTGTCCATGTGCCTGTGAGAAGTGAAGATGGCTGAAGAGGGTGAGAACTTGGAGGCTGAAATTGTGTACCCCATCACCTGCGGAGACAGCAGAGCCAACTTGATTTGGAGGAAGTTTGTGTGCCCTGGCATCAATGTGAAGTGTGTTCAGGTGAGGGTGTACAAGGTGTACCTGCTCTTGCTGCAGAGGAGTCTGGCCTGGGCTGTGGGCCCTAGGGAGACAGGAGTTCCACAAGGCTGGGAGGACAGAGGAAGTATAGTAGCCTGCATGTGGGACAGGCCCAGTGAGGAAGAGCCTCCAGCAGAAGTGATTCGTGCTACCAGAGTGAAGCTGCAGGAAGCAGGTGGTGAGGTGGCACTGCCGACGTGGTGGAGGCTACAGTCTCTAAGTTGGGAGTGGCTCTGTTTGGCAGAAGGAGGTAAGCTTTGAAGGGACTGATTTAGTGGTAAGGGGGCAGATGAATGGGAATGACATTCTCTTTCTTGGCAACATGGTAGATTAAGTACTCAGATTCACCTTGAGTTGAAAAACAGCTAAAAATGCCTGTTCAGATATTTTCATAAAGTATCTTACAGTTGCCTTTTTAAGGCAGAAGTGGTCAGGCCTCAGTAAGAGTCAGGTAGAACATTGAATCCAGCCTTTGTTTGAGAGCCTCACCTGTCATGACTTATCTCAGCTGTCAGGGGATGAGAAGACTTAAGTCAGGGCTTCCCTGAGGGTGTGTGCTGGGGGAGTGGCTTGTCACTTCTAAAGCTAGTACTGCCAGAGGGGACCACAGATGGCAGCCTTCCAAGCTCACCCAATCCAGAGCAAGCGTGCTGCCACCTACAGTGTGAACATTGAGAACAGAGGGTCATCATGTGGGGCACATGTGGCCTGTGGTCGGAACCTTGAGTGGAGAGTTTAGTTATAAGTGATTCCTGACTGGCAATTCCCCCTAGAAACAGAAAAGCAGATAAAAAATCCTCTTTGGAGGAATTAATCTTTATCTCAGATTTCCAATAATTTCCACAAAGTTCCAAGAAAGGGAGCAGCTCACAACAAGACAAACAAAAACACCCCATCCAAGGAAACAAGGCACCCTGGGTGACTGTGTATGTGAAAGCAGTGGCAGTAGGGTCAGACCCTTTGGGACTGTGGGCAGTGGATCTTTTTTCTGGTGCTGGGGGTTGAACCTCGGGTTTGCTCTTTGTCCCTGAGTGCTACACAGACCCAGGCATTGGAACTTCCAATCAAACTGGGGATCAAACTTGGGACCTTGTGCTTGCGAGGCAGGTGGTGAAACCACTGAGCTAAATCCCTGGGCCCAGGCATTGGAACTTTTGCAACACAGGATACAAAATAATTATGTTTCATTTATATTAAGAAACAAAGGAGAGACTGGACATGTAATGAAAAAAGTGGATTTGACAAAAACAATGAAAAATGAAGAATAGAATTCAAATACTTGGTGGCTAGGTTTCAGAGCAGATTAGACATAGAAGCGACAATTGGTGAACTGGAAGATAAAACTAAAGGAATCCTCTAGAATGTCATCCACAGAACAGAACATGGGCAGTCAAAGCAGGAAGAAGTCTGACGTGTATATGTACAAAGAGGGAGGTGAGGGTTCCATGATGAGGGAGGAGAGTCCAAAGTTCAGGGACCTGACAGTCCAGACTGGATAAAAAAGATTCCACTTCTTCCATCTAAGATGCTCTGACATCAAATAAATAATGGTGGACTGGGGGGATAGCTCAGTGGTGGAGCATTCGCCTAGCATACGTTTGATCCCCAGCACCACACACAAACACGCACAATACATAAAAGCAAATAATAGCAGTCATGGGTTATAACTCAAGTGGGATAAAAATCCGAGCCTGTATTTATTGCAGCTTATATCACATTATTTATCACTAAGTTTGTGCATCGGAAGAAGTGGAGTGCTCGTGTCAGAATGCCAGCTTACAGATGTGAAGCAGTGATGTGCCAGGAGTCCTCAGGGGAGGCTCAGACTAATCACGAAGTGAGGTGAGGTGCAGTCTGAATTATCCCTCAGCTCACATGTTAATGTGATGTGAGTGACTGCAGCGGGGATCCTGCCAGTGCCTCCAAACTGGAAGATGAATGCCTGCCTCCGGATTCTGTGGTCGTCCTCCTACCACATACTCACAGCCTGACTACGCTGGAGAAAACACAAAACGAAAGACATTCTACAGATACCTGAACTGTGTGCTTCAAAAATGTGAGGGTTGGGCCAGGGATTTAGCTCAATGGCACTGCACCTACCTTGCAAGGTCCGAGAGAGAGAGAGAGAGAGAGAGAGAGAAGGAGAGATGGGTTGAGAAGCTATTCTGTGGCTGGCAGCCACACACATCAGTCTTGGGGTGATGAAGGCTGCCATTAGGACGATTTGTGGCTGAGCATAGGCTACAGGTTAGATGACAGTGCAACACTGAAAACTTTCTGGTTGTGAGAAGTGTTCTGTGTTTGTGTCAGAGCACCTTGCTCTCCGGAAATGCATGCAAGTTCTTTGGAGCCAGGGGTCTCAGCAGTCCAGAGGAGAGGGGGGCACGTCTCCACACATCCAGACAGATGGTGAAGGCACAGAAGGATGAAGTGAGGAGGCATAGTGGAGATCCTTGCAGTTATTCTGTAACTTTGAGATTACATCAGAATAAAAAGCTAGAAACACAAGAATGAAATGTACCAAAAATAACACCATAATGAAACACCAGAACAGAGATGAAGATCTTAAAAATGTCCAGAAGCTGGGCGTGGTGGCATATGTCTATAATCCCAGCACTTCAGAGGCTGAAGCAGGAGGATTTCTGTGAGTTCAAGGCCAGCCTGGGTTACATAGCAAGGCCCTGTTTCAAAAACAAAAAAAAATTTTTTTTTTTTTTGGTATTGGGGATTGAACTTGGGACCTTGTGCTTGTGAGGCAGGCGGCGAAACCCTGAGCCAAATCCCCAGCCCTATGTATTTTTGGGGAGGCTTACGCCCCCCACTTTTTTTTTGGTACTGAGGATTGAACTCAGGACCTTGCGCTTGCAAGGCAGGCTGCGGCACCACTGAGCTAAATCCCCAGTCCAAAAAACAAAAAAGTTTAAAAAATGGCCAAAGCACAAAGGAAGATTGCTGAGGAGGAAGAATCCTAAAAGCAGTGTAATAGAAACCAGGGATTGTAGGGCTGGATTCTCCCCCTACCGACAGAGAATAATTGCATATAATAAAATTAGCTCTTAAAATTAGGGCAAAATAGACATTTTCGGATAAAACAGTTGCCACCTGCAAAGGATATTGTTAATGTGTTTCAGGACAAGGGAAAGAAACCACAGGTAAAATCATAGGGTATAGGAAAGCAAGAAGGGTGTGGGACATGAGAGCAGATTCCGCATGACCGACTGGCAGTGACATCCTGAGAAGAACCTGAAGATAAAACACCAGCCACACAGTGGTGCCCAGGAGGCCATGGGCTCTTGACAGCCAAGGCATGATGTGCTCAGTGCCCAGGGCACCAGAGAAAACAGAGCAGAGAAGAACATGGCACCACAAGGGAGTCTTTACCCCAAGAGAGGGCAGGAAAGAAAAGGGAGAGTCTGTGAGACAGGTGAGGCCAGCAGAGCCAATGCAACAGACTCAAGCAGGACTGGCCAGGCAGGCGCAAGTCCGGCAGGCTCTGCTGTGTGCATCTAGGGAGCAGAGCAGCATGCTGTGGCCAGTTGCATGGCTGTGTGGGTGCATTTTTATCTGTGGCATGTGGTGATGAGAGTGTACAGACTTGGGACTGGGAGCCAGCTGTTACCCTGTCTGCCTACTGAGGCACTCTGCTCGGGTGACGGCATGCCTGGAAGGAGGCATTCCCAGGATACAGTGACTCATCCTACCCAGCCTGCTTGTTTCCTAAGGAAGTGTTTTGTTTTGTTTTTGTGGTGCTGGGAATGGAACCCAGGCACCTTTTACTTGTCAGGCAAGCTCTCTACCACTGACTTATATGGCTAGCCCAAGAGATGCAGTATTATTTTCATTCTTTGTGTCTTAGTTACTTTCTCACTGCTGAGACAAAACGCTTAACACCCAAAGTTAAAGGAAGAAAGGTTTATTTTGGCTCACAGTTTATAGAGGTTTCAGTCCATAGTTGGCTAGCTCCAAGACAGGGTGGCATGGCAGAAAAGAAACAATTGATAGCAGGCAGCAGGCAGCAATGCAGTAAGCTACAGCAGAAGCCCTCTTTCCACCTCTTATATTCTAATTCTATTCAGGCTACATACCCTTAGGGCAAGTAGCCCTCACACTGAAGGATGGCCTTCCCATTATCCACACAGGGAACTATGCCAAACCAATCAGTGGACTAATTTAGTAACCACACACCCTTGATCCCAGCCTCACACACTAGATCCAGCCACCTTTAAAAAGCCCTACCTATTACCACATGAGACTTTGGAGGGACATCTAGACACAAGCCCTCACACTGATTTCAAAAATTACTTGTTTAGTTGGGCCAGGGATTCAGTTTAGTGGCACCACACCTGCCTCATAAACACAAGGTCCTGAGTTCATTCCCCAGTACTGCAAAAAAAAAAAAAAAATTCTTTAGCAAGATTGAATAGGATATTGTATCTTCTTGGGCTTTCTGAGCACTAGCACAGGATGAATATCAAGTGGGGAAACAGTTCCCCTGACTTAAAATGGATGTGGGCAAGCATCTCTCAAGGCAGGTTACTATGCTTCCTGTGCTGTCTGTGGTCCAAGGGTGGGCCTGGTCTTGGAAAGGGGTTGCTCATAGCCTGTTTTTATGCTTGTATTTCTGGTTAATATTATATGTCATGATGTAATGAGTATATGTATTACTGATGAAATAAATTGCATATAAGATGGAGGTTTGCTGCACCTGATCTGGAGAAATTGAGCCAGGATTCCTGCAGTGGGTTAGCCCAGCCCTGCCTGCTTCCAGGCATACTGTGTACCTTTGTGGGGCAGCAATGTACAAAGTGTCAAATGGAGACCTGGTGCCCACTCCAGCCCTTGCCAACTAGGGCGTACCCTGTTTTATCCTAGTGTTTTATAGTGAGCCTGTGGCTCTTTCCTACCATGAACTCCTGGCACAGACTCAGGAGAGCAGAGGAGGGCACCCGATGACCCCACCAGACATCTATCTGAGGCCAGGCTGACCCCACACTGCTGTGCTTCTCTGCAGTATGATGAACATGTGATCAGCCCGAAGGAGTTTGTCCACCTGGCGGGGAAGTCCACCCTGAAGGACTGGAAGAGAGCCATCCGAATGAACGGCATCATGCTCAGGTGGGCCCTGTGCAAGTGTGCTCCTGATGGGAGGGGTTGTAGCTGTTGCTTTTTCCTTTGGGTTAGGGTTTTTTAAGTCAAGGTTCGTGTTCGATGTGGGTGATGAAAGCCCCCCTGCACGGTTGCACCTGCTTACCCCATAGGAAGTAGAGCTTCCATGCTCTATCAGGGACACTGTCAGACTTTTAGTGATTGTGTGTGTGTGTGTGTGTGTGTGTGCGCATGTGTGTAAATTTTCATTTTCATTTCCACAAATTCTGCACTCAGGGCTAGTTATTAAAAAAAAGCAGGGGTATAATCTGGTATTTGCTCATCAGGTGGGGATTCAGGATTAGTCTCGGCATAGCCTTTCACATCATCCTTTACTTTTGTCCTCTTCATTGCTTTTTACTAAAGTTTCATGTGGAGTACACAAATGGTGCACCATGCTTGGCTTATGTTTTTTGTGAACCATTAGGCCACCATGTCTTTGAACCTGAAAAATGTCAGTGCCGTAGGGAAGGTACTGGTGACCCATGTTTACCTCCTTGCTTCTCCAGTTGGTGCCCTGCTTTGTGCCAAAGTCAGTTTGGTCTTGAGAGTGACCAGATTGGGTCTTTCTCACAGCCCTCAGGCCCATTCCGCTGAGTGAACCTCTGAGTGAGCCATTCCACTGAGTTTTCTAGAATGGTTGACTGTAAAACTATGGAGACACAGTGTGAGGAGAGGTATATGGAGAGATGTGTGTATACCTGAGGCCTGCACAGCCTGAAGGCTAAGCTATGATAGAACTTGGCCTGGTTCATGGGACACAGCAGGCTGGTTGTCTGAGACTTCTGAACTTGGATGCAGGCAGGACAGAGGGTCTGGAGAGACAGACCCCAGCTCATCAGGATGCACAGTTGCCTTCCTGGCAGCTGAACATGAGAAATGACCATAGTTTCAGATGCTGTCAGAGTCATATGGGCCTTCTTTTTTGTCTGTATCTTCCAGAGAACAGGACTTTCCTTGGAAGCGACTCTCTAATCTTTGCTTCAGAATTGGGCTACTCTTAATGTGGGTGGGCTGTGCCGCATCCCCTGGTGCCACAGTCACAGCATGGAACAGGCACCTCCAGGACGCCCACCAGCCAGGGTCCTTTCTGCTTACACTGGACAGAGTACTGTGTGGGTGGCCTGGGGCAGCTGTACCAGCTGCCGTGTGTTCCCATTGGAGTTTTATGCCCAAGGGTGTGTGCATCATCTCTTACCTTGTGGGAGCCCTGCCCTGCTTAGTGCCTCTGCTGAGACCTGATACTGCAGCAGACGGTCCAGTCAGGGCAATGGACAAAGGTATCTGGGGTTTCACTTGAGCTGCTGTCCTCTCTGCAGAAAGATCATGGACTCCGGGGAGCTGGACTTCTATCAGCATGATAAAGTCTGCTCCAATACCTGCCGCAGCACCAAAATTGACCTGTCAGGTGCCCGAGTGTCCCTGAGCAGTCCCACATCTGCAGAGTACATCCCGCTCACACCTGCTGCAGCTGATGGTAGGTGCAAGGGGCCTTTTGGCCTTCAACTCTGTCACCATGCTAGCCAGGCACAGTGGCACACGTCTATAAATCCTAGCTACTTGGGAGGCTGACGAAGGAGAACTTCAGGTTCAAATCCAGCTAGGGTAACTTAGTGAAACTGTCTTAAAATTTTAATTTTGGTTAGGCCAAGGATTTAGCTCAGTGGTGCCACACCTGCCTCATAAGTGCAAGGTCCTGAGTTTGATACCCAGTGCCAAAAAAATTAATTTTTGTTTTGCTTTGTTTTGTATTTTTGAGACAGAGTTTTACTGTATATTTCAGGCTGACCTTTAACTCACTATGTAGCCCAGGATAGCCTCAAACTCAGTGCAGTCCTCTTGCCTCAGCCTCCCAAGTTCTATTACAGGCATGTGCCAACATACCTGGCTCTGTCTCAAAATTTTTATTTTATTTTGTTTTAAGACATACATATCATTTAATCTAGACACTTCAGTAATCAATTAGCAAGCTTCTTAGGAGGGAAAGGGAAGCTGAGTTTGAAAACATGTCTATACATGTATTTATTCTACTGTAATTTATCAGAAAATACCAACAGCACAGGTGAGGAACAGTGGCTCTGGTTCTTTCCCTCTCTCTCTCTTTTTTTTTTTTTTTGGTGCCAGGGATTGAACTCATGACCTTGTGCTTGCAAGGCAGGCACGGTGCCCCTGAGCGAAATCCCTGGCCCTCTGGTTCTTTCTCTAGAAAGTTCTCTTCTCTAAGATGCCCACAGACTTGAGGGATGCTGAGGATGTCAAGGGTGAGAAGCCAGGGCTGCCCCTTGCCCACCCGGCGGACCCCTACTCCTGCCCCAGGGCGGGTCCTCCCTCTGGGCACCTTCTCACTGTCCCATCCCTTCCACCAACACATATCCACACCTTCGCATCCCTCATCATGGGTCGTAATGTGAAGTCCTGATTAGCCCAGGGAACGCGGGCAGTTGTAATTAAGAATGGCTGGCCATTGTTGGCTTGCCTCAGTTGGGTGGCTGTGGTTTATGGCAATCTGAAAATATCAGTTGCTTAGCTCCTTTCTGGGTCAAAGCCTCAGGTTGGATGCTGGGGGAGTCAGAGCCCCTTCTGGGGTACTTCGGAGGCAGTGCAGCGAGGGGGTATTCAGGGTCCTGGTGGCCAATGCAGGGGCTGGGCCCAGGACCTCTGTGCTGCCTTACTAAAGTTGCTCCTAAGTGACCAGCCAGGACAGATGAGCACTGCTAGTGCTTTCTCCTAAGGAGGGGCTGGGCTTCTGAGTCTTATAATCAAGGTTGCTGTCCCTGGGGAAAGCAGAGTCTGGATTAGGATTCTGCTCTTCCTGCAGTTTGTTTCTTTAGCCTGGAATCTTTAAGAACCTGTGATTTGGCTATTTTGTAGTTAGTAAGAGCTTGTGTACCAGTCCAAAACAGGAACAGCAGTTGTTCATGTCCCCCCTGAACACAGGTATGTGTAATATTCACCAGTACTACATCTTTGATGAATAGAAAAGGTGGCATAAAGTTGGAAACCTTACCCAAATACTCACTTGTTTCCAGGTCTACTTCTGAGTCTTGTCTGTGTGTGAGGCCTCTATCAGAAACCCCAGAACAGCCAAGGATGAACTATATAGACAGCTAGGGTTTGTAGGCCCTGGAAATGGACTCAGGAATAAATCAGAATAGGTGGTCTGTCACTGTTGTGATCCATAAAAATGGAAACATGGTAGGTATGCTAAAAGTTTACAGTAGCACCAGTGAAATGTAATTAGAAGTAATGATGGACTCTAGGGTGACCTAGGTCATGTTTGTTGTGGTGAAACAAGACAGGTCCCCAGTGGTAGAGTTGTAGGAGATTGTTGGGTAAACTTGTAAATAGGACCAGAGCAGAAAAATGCTGGGATTTACTGAAAGTCGGTGCTGGCTGTGTTTTACTCCTGTTTTTTATCCTTTGTATATGTTTGAAGATGTCTGTGATTAAAAATAAACTGTCTACGAGGCAGGTGTATTTTTTGTTTGTTTGTTTGCCGGTAATGGGGTTTGAACTCAGGACCTTGTGCTTAGGAGGCAGGTGCAGCACTCCTGAGCTACATCCCTGGCCTGAGGCAGGTGTATTAATTAGCTTTGCTGTGGCTGGATACTACCCAACCCTCACAACTTAAAGGAGGAAAGGTTTAATGTGGCTCACATTTTACTAGGATTCAGTCCACTTCTGTCTTGTTCCAAGGCAGAAACTTCATGGTGCCAAAGCAGAGACGCCTGGTCCTGATGGCTGGGAAACAGTGCCAGAGAGGAAGGGTGGGACCAGACATAGATCCCAAGGCCGTGGCCCTGTGACCCCCAACACACCCAAGGAAGTGTGCCCCGTCAGCCTCCAGGCAGATCCCAGAGCCAGTCAGGTTGGCACTGTACCCTAAATGTACAGCAGGGAAGTTCCTTAATGGATGTGTGTTTGTTAGTTTTGTGAAAAAAGATGTCAAGGAGGGATTCAGATGTAGCTTTGGGAGGATGGGCAGGGCTTGTGGATGGTGTGGGAGCTACTCTGCAGAATGACCCCTGTGCTCCATTTTGCTTGTAGTGAATGGTTCACCTGCCACCATCACCATAGAGACCTGTGAAGACCCCAGTGACTGGACGACAGCTATTGGAGGTACAGCCTTGCGGATTTCTCTTGAGTGCAGGTGGTCTGTGGGGCAAGCCACTCATCCATTCCTGCCCCTAGCTCTGGCTCTGGGTGAGGTGCTGGCTGCTGTGGTTCTGGGAACTCTGAAGTAGACCTCAGATCTCAGTCACCGACCTATTGCACTTACAGGCTAAGTAATTGCATCTAGTGCTGTAACTTCCCTAGGGAGTATCCTTGCACCTGTCTTTGCTTTTCCTCACTGAGGGCTTCCCCAAGCAGCAGTGTTCTTCCTGACCACCGAGCCCTTTCCTTCCCTCACAGATGACACATTTGCTTTTTGGCGGGGACTGAAGGACGCTGGCCTGCTGGATGAGGTCATACAGGAGTTCCAGCAGGAACTGGAGGAGACTATGAAAGGTCTGCAGCAGCGGGTACAGGATCCTCCCCTGCAGCTTCGAGGTGAGGAGCCCCAAGTCTCCCTCTTGTCAGCTCCTGCCAGGCCCTGCCATGCCCCTGGGATGAAGGCCTAGCCTAGAGGCAAGACCTGGCTGTGCTGGCTGTAGGAGGATCACTTGGCATGCATCCTAGGCTTTGTGGAGCCAGGCTTCTCCTGCTGGCCGGATCCCCAAGAACCACCCCTGGCCCTGGGGTCTGGGCCCTCTGGGAGGGACCCTGGGTTCTCATCAAGTGTTCACGTTGCTCCTTTAAGATGCTGTCCTCCTCAACAACATTGTACAGAACTTTGGCATGCTAGACCTGGTGAAAAAGGTGCTGGCCAGCCACAAGTGCCAGATGGACCGCTCACGGGAGCAGTATGCCCGGGACCTGGCAGGTATGGCTGGCAGTGTGCTGGGAGTTCAAGGAGCCTATGGGCTCATCTGTCTGGCCAGTTCCACCGAGGTGGGAAGTAAGAGGGACCTAGGTGTCACACACTGAAAAGTCAGTAAAACTCAAATGGCTGTGGCCAAACTTCACCAGGCAGAATGTACCGTTGTTATGTTTACTGACCTTTCTGAAGAGAAATAACAGAAAAGTGAATAGGGCCACCTCTCACCCACCCAGAGCTAGGCTTGCTCCTGTGGTGAAGTGTTTATTCCAGGCTCTCTGTGGTGTTGATACTTACATATGTTCACCATGTGTACACCGCATGTGCACCATGTGTGCATGTAAACAGGCTGCTTCGGTGCCACAGCAGCTGTCTGTGCACAGATTGTGACTGGAACATGTTAGAGTAGATGGGGAAGGCCTAGCACATCACTTCCATCGGTGGAGTGGCAGTCCTGGGCCGTCTGAGGCCCCACTGTGCTGACCTCACCTTGGCAGGTTGTGTGGTTGCTGTTAGCTTGGGCTGCCAGGTAATGATGCATGTCTGCCCCACCACCCTAAGAAGATGCTGCCTGCCCTGACACTGTGCCTCCTACAGCCCTGGAGCAGCAGTGCGATGAGCACCGCCGCCGCGCCAAGGAATTGAAACACAAGTCCCAGCACCTCAGCAACGTGCTGATGACGCTGACCCCTGTCTCCCTGCCGCCCCCCATGAAGCGGCCGCGGCTCGCACGGGCCACGTCTGGACCGGCCTCCATGGCCTCACAGGTGCTCACCCAGTCTGCACAGATCGCCCTCGGCCCGGGTGTGCCAGTGTCCCAGCTGACCAGCGTACCTCTTGGCAAGGTGGTGTCCACGCTACCCTCGGCTGTCCTGGGCAAGAGCTCCCCTCAGGCACCCCCAGCAAGCTCACCAGCCTCTCCATTGCTTGGGGGCTACACAGTCCTGGCCTCCTCAGGCTCCACTTTCCCTAGCACAGTGGAGATCCACCCAGACGCATCCAGCCTCACAGTTCTGAGCACGGCAGCCATGCAGGATGGCAGCACGGTGCTGAAAGTGGTCAGCCCACTGCAGCTGCTCACCCTGCCCAGCCTGGGCCCCACCCTGCAGAATGTGGCCCAGGCATCACCGGCAGGCAGCACAATTGTGACAGTGCCCACAGCAGCTACCGCAGGGCCTGACGAGCATACAGCCACCATTGAGGTGTCCGCCATGGCAGAGGACCACGAGCAGAAGTAGCCGGTAGAGGGAGCGGCCCCTCGGGGTGGACAGGGCTGGCTGCCTCTCCTCAGGCCGCTGCAGGCGGAGGCCACGGAGCTGGCTCAGCACCGACAGGTCTTGTGGGCTGAACCAAAGAGAGGACTTGCCAGAAGACTCAAGAAAAAGAGGGACAGAAAGATGGCCAGCAACCTGAGAAATTGGTCTTCACCTTCTAAACTCCTTCCCCTTTTTTCTTGGGAAATATACTTTTCCATCTGTTGCTTATTAATACTGTTTACACATTGGCCTTGAGCAGGAGCCAGGGGGACTGTGACCAGAAGGCCTAGGTATAACTAGGTGCAGGCAGCAGAGGCAGGGGCAGCAGGCATTTTACACCCTGCAGGTGCTGGTGGCACCAGAGTCCAGCCAAGTCACAGAGGTCCTGGTGTCTGTGCCCCTGCTGGTCCTGGCCTGGCGCCTGAGCCTGCTGGGGGGGACATAACTAACACATGTCTTGGGAAATGTACCCAAGAGTGGAAACCCATGGATCCTATGGATTTGGTTTCTTCCCACAGTTTTCTGTAGGTTTAGTGTGGCCAGCGCCCCGCTCTTCTGCCTGTGGAAACATGGTCCCAGGGCTGGGCTACAGACCCAGCAGGTGCTCAGGTGGCCAAGAGGCCCTACAGACCAGGGGAGGTCTGGGCACCATTGCACATGTGCTGCAGGTGTTTTTAAGTGAATTGCTTAGTAGGCTTCTAGAAAGAGTCATTTATAGCATTTTCAACCAAAATGATGCTGAGTGCCTAGGATTCCCAAGTGGGCTATAGGGTGGGCCTGGGCACCTGTGCGTGTACCTAGCTGGATATGGAGGTGCTGGGCTGCAACCTGCCTAAGTGAAGCTCTGGAGAATTTGGCCGTGTTCCTTCAGATTCGGGATGGCTCAGGTGGCTCCCTTGTGTAGCCTGCTTTGGGACCTCCCTGTTAGCTCTCAGGCCCCTGATCCTCTCCTGTGGGTAGAGCTGAGCCCCAGGGCGTTGGAGAGGCCGCCCAAGGCCGGGTAGGACTGGCTAGGACAGGTGTACTCCGTGCAGGCTACCTGTTGGTGGTTTGCAGATCTAGGTTTGGGCTTTAAAGGAATACTGGCAGGGGCCGTCCTCTAGGCCACAGCTCCTAGGGCCAAGCATTTCAGGGAACAGGAAGCCCAGGTTGCTTGTGGAGTACGGCTTAGGACAGTCCTCAGGGCCAGCTCTCCCTGGACCTTCCTGCTGGCCTTGCTGTAGAGGTCCTCACAGCAGGAGGGGCACTGGCCCTCTTCACTGTATTAAAGGGAAGTAGTTGTTCCTTTGTCCATCAACCCACCCCCTTGAGTGTGCAGATGCCACCTCGCACCTTTGCTCTGACCAGGGCCCTGTCTGCCTCCCACCCTACATCAAGCTACTGAAGTTCTGTTTCTTTTCCTTCTGTTACATCACTTTTTGCTGTTGTCATGAATCAACTGGTTTCAGCATGATGTTTACCTGTTTGTGTATCTACTCCTTTTATAAAACTCATTTTTATTCAAGTTGTGAGTCTTGTTACATGCAGCAGTGTGACCCCGTTAGAGGCAGCGTCACTAATGAAACACCTGTTGCCCCGGGAGTCAGGGAGCGTCCAAGGTGCTGTCTATATTCTGGGTTGTGGGTCCGTTTCCTTTCTTTATAAAGACCAAGTTGGGACCTTTTCAGACCCTACCCCTTAGTCCCTGGAGGTACGGACGGCAGAGTTAATTGTAGAGCCATATAAAAAGCCCCAAACCAGCTTCAGAATTAATTTCCACCCCCTTGTCAGTGCCCCAAGGCTGTCCACACATCTGCTGCCAGCCTATCTTCCACAGCTGCTCCTGACAGGGTGGGTGGGCTGGAGTAGAGGACGGAACTGTGGGGGTGGTGGGAGTTGGGCAGCGCCCCCACTGACACACCCGCTTCCTGCTGGGTCCTCAGGTTGCTGGGCTTCTGGGCCCCTGTGGGGCCTCAGCCATGTGCAAACACGGCAAACACGGTGTTCGTGCTGCCTTCAGCTTGGTTTTCTGAGAGTATAGGACTGACTTGGTTTTACAAGCGGGTGAGAGCTTCTCTCAGTGCCTGCCTGGAGGCACCCTTGGGAAGGGCAGTGTTTGAGTCCTACTTTGTATGTTGTTTTGCAAGAATCTGCTTGGTACTTTGATTTAAAATAAAAGCATTTTTCATAATTTCTGTATCTGTCTCATAATGAAAGACTGGAGAGAACCAAATTAAATATGAAAACAACCTGAGTTGGGTGGTACACACCTGTAATTCCAGCTACTTGGAGGCTGAGGCAGGAGGATCACAAGGTTGAGGTCAGCCTGGGCAGTTTCGTGAGTACCTGCCACAGAATGAAAAAAGGGGCAGGGGACAGTGCTCAGTGGTATAATGCTTGGCTGATGTGTGAGACACCAGTTCATTCAATCCTCTGCTTCATAGAAAAAGTTTTTAAAAACTGTAAAAACACACCCTTTTGGACAGTGCCAGCCTGTTCTATTTTCTTCACGCACATGGTGTGCTTTGTCCTTTCCAAGTGTGGGCTGGGGCCCCCGGACACTTCCTAAGTATCCCAAGGTCTTGCAATTTCCTTTTTTTCTTTTTTGGTACCAGGGATTGAACTAAGGACCTTGCGCTTGTGAGGCAGGTGCGGTGCCACTGAGCTAAATCCCTGCCCCCTATCTGCAGTTTTTGAAACAGCAGGTTCCATTTGGTTTCTCTCTGCCAAGTAGAGACCTGATGAAGGTTCCAGCTGCCTCCATCTGTGTCTGCTGCACCACTGACAGGCTGGGCAGCTCGTGGACAACAGTAGGGCGTTGCTCACAGTCCTGGAGTCTGGTGCCCAGGCTCAAGGTAGACACTGTCTGGTGAGGGCCTGGAAGCACTTCTGACCTTCAGAGAGGGTGAGGGTCCAGCCCAAACCATTGGGCCCCTGACCCAAAGCTTGAGTCCCAGGCATCTCCACAAGAGGGCAGGGAACAGCCACAAACCCATACTTCCAAGCAGTCCAGGTCTTCTCTGCCCAGAGCTCCATGAGTCTCCTGTCCAGTGCTGTGCCCTGCTCCGGTGCCACTGTCCCTAAGAGTCCACGGGCGAGCCTCTTGCACGTCACAGGGAACAAGCAGATGGCAGATGGTGTGTCGTACCATTCCTGAGAGTGACAGTTTGACAAGGCAGGGTGGCTCGTGATTTGAAAGTCGGTGCAAAGGGTAGGGTCCTCGCTGAAGGCCTGCCCTTCTGATGCAGTACTTTGTCACACATATGCTCCCTTGTGGTAAGGAGCTAACACGCACCACAGGCCTTGGGTACACACTCACCCTTGGTTGCACATCCTTCTCACACACCGGCGAGCACCATGGTTCAGTGTTCTGCTGCACAGGGTGGTGTGTGGAGGCCAGGGACACAGACCAAGTCTGTGCTTCACATGTTTTAGGGTTGGGTTAGTAGTTAAAAATACATGATGGGTTACAGGAGACAGACACATTACTGCCTTTCCCTGGCGTATGGTTTGCACCTACTGCCGGTTCTCATCCAAAACCAAAGAGGGGAATGTTAGGGAATTATCATGTTAAAGTATGTTGTGACACCGCCTTTTGGGGTTGGACTTCCGGGTTCTTCCCCTAAACCCATCCTGAGTTTCCTTTTTCCAAGACCATGTCAGCATATAGAATTAAAACCTAAAGCTTCCTGCAGAGCTCCCTCCTTAGAGAGCAAAGTGGCTTTTGATAGGCTAAGAGCAGCCTACTCCACCCTAACGAGGAAGTCTTTGGCTCCAAGCCCCATAAATAGGCCAGCACTTGCTCTGCTCTCTCTCTGCTCTTTTCTCTCTGCTCCGCTCCCCTGAATAAAATCTCCAGTGTGGCGGGGGACAAACATGATGGGTGCAGCTTCTTGCTCTGCTTTTCAAAGAAGTGTGAATGTAGTGGGTTTCAATGCCAGTCAGGAGATCATGCCTCATGATTTCTTTAAATATGGAGGAGCAGAACTGAACGAGCTTTTATTTTTTAGGACAGTTTAATCCTTTTGTATTTTTTCAATTATTGATCTATAGTATATTTGGATGGATGTCTCATTAAGTTGTTCTATAGGCTGGAGTGTTTGTGAGGAATTTTCTTTTTCTTTTCTTTTCTTTTTTTTTTTTTTTTTTTTTTTTTTTTTTTTTTTTTTGGTACTGGGGATAGAACTCAGGTCCTTGCGCTTGCAAGGCAGGCAGCAGAACCACTGAACTAAATCCCTGGTCCCTGGATATTTAATATATATTTTGTATATTCATTTGAAAGTACTCTTACTTTAGTAGAAAATGTAAGTTTTCAAGCAGAAAACAAGTACTGGACTCTATGTTATGTTTAGATAGGTTTAATTCACATAACGTCTAAAATGTCAGGTTGTCAATGCCTGACACTTAAAAGCAACATCAAAAACATAACATAGTGTTCTTACCAAAACTGATAAAAATTTAGATATAACTATTTCTAGTTAAGTTGGGCGTGGAAGCACATGCTTGTAATTCCAGCACTCTGGAGGTCAAGGCAGGATTGCCAAGTTCGAGACCAGCTTGTGCTACATAGTGAGTTCTAGGTCAGCCTGAGCTACGTGGTGAGACCCTGTCTCAACAAAACAAAAAACTTCTAGTTAAAAATTTTAAGTCATAAAAAGCCATGCCAAAGGATGTTTTCAATTTCTTTCCAGAACACAGCTATCTTTAGTGGGCATAGTTTTGTAAATAAGCCAGAATTTTATAAGACTATGGGTCTCGGCCTTTCCCTCTTTGTTAGGAGTCATTTTGTTAGGACTAATGGTGGCCATAGGGATTTTTTTTTTATTTTTTGGATACAGCGAGGGGTGGGATCGAACTCTGGTCCACTAACAGGAAACAAATGAGTCAGCTCCTAAATATGAAAAGCAAACCATGACATGAATACGGAACTAAGGAAGGAAATGTTTCAGTAAGCGCAGATGTGACATGATCCTGTCAGGGCCTTTGCATCCTTTTTATCTCCTAATAAAGTAAGCCACCAACAGGAGAAAGGTCACCCTCAGTGCTGAGATTTTTAGGTTGCTAAACTCCTTCTCATCTTCTCCTCAGCTCTTGATTCTGCACAGTTCGTTCTCTACATTCCATACGGTTCAGTATTCATTTTCACACAACACGCTAGTGTGCCTGAATTCATCCATGATGTTAGGAGAGAAGATCACCTGCTAAGATCAGCTGTAACTGTCTGTGGTTGCAGTTTCAAGCTATGGAAGGCACAAATCATGGAAAGTAGCACCTGCGCAGTTGCTGCTGGGGCGGAGTGACTGCTGAGGAAGCCCAGTGGGCCATTCTTCCTGCCGCCCCAGTGGTCCCCTCTGTAATGCAGCACCACTCACAGTGCATTGTTGGACAGATGCGGCAGAGCTCCCACCAGCTTCCCTCCCCTCCCCACCGAGAACATGCCCATGTTGGGTGATCACAGAGAAAGGGAGCTGGGTGCCTGGAGACCCACGGCTGTGGTACGGGTGCCAGGTGGAGTGCGGAGCCCGTAGAGGCGTCCAGCTGCAGAATCCTCATCTTCTGGCCAAGGACACCAGCATCACAGGACCAGCTGTCCCCTGAATTTGTTGTGCCCGTGGACCTTGTGAGCATCATGAGGTTGTGTCACGCACTGGACTTTGGGTCACTTTTCACACAATCACACCGACACAGCCAACATATCGCATCTGTCAGCAACTTCTCCAAGTCAGTGTTCAGATTACTGGCCTGAGGGATTAGACCCGAGGTGACTGCTCTGTTGGCACAAGGGATGGCGTGGAGCTCTTCTTCCTGCTGTGGGATTTACAAAAGGCACTTTGGACTTGGACCTGGCCAGGGCTTATGGATTTTTCCAGGTTGGATTCTGTGAGTCTCTGGGGTCCCCGTACCGGGAGATAGGAGAATATGAGGGCTCTGTTTCTGCCACTGGCCTGAATGGTTGTGCTACTGAGCAGGGAAAGCAGACTGCATCCCAGGTCCTGTCAGATCCTGTCTGGCTGCAGATCCTGACTTCATGGAAGGTGGAGTGGACAGCACCTTGGGCTCCCAAACCAGCCAGAGGACAGGCCAAGCAGAGAATCCAAGGCCTGCTTGAGGTCCAGCCATGGGCTACTGCCAGGTGCCCATGTTTATTCTTGATGTACGGTGATTGTGCCGTGAGATATCTGAGCAGCCACATACATGTGCACACATGCACACATCCATGTACTGCAGTGAAACGAGCATAGAATGCAATACAGAGCACTTCAGTGAACTGTTGGTGAGTCTCGATGATAGATGGGAAGCTGTAGCTCTGACCAAGGAGAAGGACATTCCCTTGTGCCTACCTGTTATTCATCACCTCTCTGTTGCTAGGACAAAGTACCTTACACATACAAGGTTGCCTGACTCAAAGGCAGACACGTCCTGATAGGCTGGGCTCCATGGCACAGGCCTGTAGTCTCAGCACTCAGGGTGCTGAGGCAAAAGGATCATCACGAGTTCGAGGCCAGCCTAGAAAACACAGCAAGACCCCGTCTCTCTTTTTTTTTTTTTTTTTTTTTTTTTTAGTACCGGGGATTGAACTGCGTCCTTGCGCTTGCAAAGCAGGCACCTGAACCACTGAGCTAAATACCCAGCCCATCAAGACCCTGTCTCAAACAACAGCAACAAAAAGAAGCATCATGGTGGAGGAGAGTTATGTCCCACCTCATGGTAACCAGGAAGTAGAGTGAGAGAGAAAGAGAGCAAGAAAAGGTACATCCTTCAGAGACATACTCCAGGGACCGACTTCCGACTCGGCCCTCC